AAGACTCACAGAAACTGTAGCAGCTAATAATATGCTAATAAAGTCAACCATGTTTCCGCATAAAGACATCCATAAGCAAACCTGCGTCTCAAACGACCATATTACGCGGAACCAAATTGACCACATCATTGTAGATGCCCGTCATGGGAACAATATTATAGACGTAAGAAGCCTGTGAGAAATAGACAGACTATTACTTAATCAGAGCAAAAGTTAAATCCAGAATATCTAGCCACAAATACAATAAAATAACAATAAACCTACAATGGAACATGGACGAAACGCACAATAAAGAGAAACAACAAAACTATAGGGAACAATTTGAACAAACCTTGAACTCTGAAAGAGAATACAATGATATAGAACAGCTGAAAAAAAGACAAACAGTAAGGAAGACCTGGATATAACCGCAAACAGACCAAAGTAAAAAGGAATATGACGACTTCCAAAAAGAAACAAGAAAATAATACGCACAAAGAAAAGAAACTATGAACAATAAAAATATGAAGTTATGGAGAGAGACCAGCCCAAACCAGGCTCCAGAGAATTCTATAAAGCAATTTCGTCTGAGAAAATAGGACATAAAATCAATTTCATCCATACACTAAAAGACAATTAATGCCGTATGATAATCGACGGTAAAGAAGTAGCTGAAGAACGGAAAGAGTATTTTAGGAACCTTCTAAACATCATACAGGAAAAACAGCACAAAGAAGAGATTTATATCACAGCGGACATTCTCGTCAAAAATCCATCCTTTGAAGAAACCCAAAAGTCCTTAAATAAGCTGAAAAATCACAAAGCGCCGGGTACTGACAAGATACCAGCAGAACTTCTGAAATATGGGGGAGACGCACTACATCGCCAAATCCACCAGCTAATAACGCACATATGGTTAGAAGAGAAGATATCAGCACGTGGAAGGAAAACATAATAGTGCGGATAGTGCCCATCCACAAAAAAGGGGACAAAACAAAATGCGCGAATTATAGAGGAATTTCACTCCTAAACACGACATATAAAACCCTGTCAAACATCATTCTTGGTATACTAATCCCTTATGCTGAAAATGTCCTAGGCGAATATCAAGCCGGTTTTAGGACAAACAGATCAACAATAGATCAACTATTCACGCTGAGACAACTTTTAGAAACGGAATGGGAGTATACCAGACCCATACACAATCGTTTCATAGACTTTCGACAGGCATATGATAGCGTAGAAAGAAGATAGGTATAGAATGCCATGGCGGAGTTCTCAATACCAAAGAAACTCATTCGGATGACCGAAGTCTGTATGAGGGTGGAACATCTAAAGTAATTCATCAATAACCTTGAACGAATATTCTCCTCGATTGTTACCTTTTAGCGGCAATATTGCTAGCAACTCTTCCCTAAAAATCTGACAATATAAAGAAATCTTATAAAACAGACATTTGTTAATCATCAACAATGTGACATAATTCGTCAAGTGCTATAGCGTAGCAAGGTGCCTTTTGCAAAAGATTAAGAAGAGAGTTGCATCAACATCTTTTTTTCTTTAAAAAGTGAGTTAACTACTGCCAGCATACATTCCTTCACTATCTCAGAACCAGAAAATGGTTTTTGATGTTTGTTAAGTATCCAGCATACACCTACGCTGCCTCTGTGGATTTTTCTTGGTGGCTCATGCAGCGAACTAGGGCTTTTGTGCTTTTTTTGTAAGAATATATACCCGAAGTTTTTCTTCACGCGCCTGACTGCCAAGAGGAAAGCTTTTGTGGAAAAGTTGACAGGTTTTGAACAGAATTCCCCAGATTTATATATTTCAGTTATTGTAAACATACAATATTATTAGAAAACAATATTTCATCACTTATACATAATTGGTATTAAGTTTATTTATCATTTTACTTCCTATTTGGAAATTAAGCAGTTTTATTTTGAAATTGATTGACGCAATCAATATTCCGCAGTTCGGTCCGCAGTTCAACCTTCCGCGGTCCGCATTCGGACCGCAGTCCTCCTGTTGCCGACCGTTGTTATTAATGTCAGTAGTTGATGCGGTGAATAAAAAAATATGGAACTTTTATTAACTATAGACTATATTTAAATTAATTCTTCGGTCTATATTTTAAGTGATATCTTCCTAGATGATCTGAATTCTTGCTTAATTATTTAAAAATTAGAAGAAAAATAAATCTTTATGTCTCTCATTTTTACTAATTTACTTACATCCTGATTTGGTAACTTTTTATATATCAATTGAGATACATGCAGTTACTCTCTGCACCTCTTTTGTATTGCATCTGAAATAATATTTCAATATTCGTCTGAATCTTTCCTACTAGACAAAACCTATATATTGACATATTTCCCATAATTTCCGTTGACTTTATTTTGGATATCTCAGTAGAAAACCCTTACATCAGCCTGACTTCATTTTTCTTTCTGGGTCAGTGGCATTCTCTCCCTTAGACCTTATTGTTATCTCTAGTAAGATAGCGGAAACTTCAAAAGCTCGTACATAGCGTTTCTTTCACATCCAATAAGTTGGTATCCGGTAACCTTGAAAACTCCGCGCGTCATTAATCTCAGCAGGATATTTAGAGTGTCGGTTTCAAGAAAGCAGACAAAAGATTAGAGAGCGGATGAGAAGCATCACGAGGAAATTCGGATATGAGTTCGTGTTAAGAAGACAAAAAGAACATATTAGAAAACTTGAATACTTGTCCCTTTTTGCAAGAAGTTTATTTTTGTAACAAAAAGTTTGTGTATAGAATCTACACTAAAATTCCGCGTTCTTTTTTTTTCCTTATATGACACTTCATCCTAAAGTTGTGTTGGATACGGTTTTGAAATTTTGTACAATCCGCATTTCTTAAGTTCCATTTTGCTTCTAATATATATAATTTTTAGTTATCAATTATAATAGGGTAGTGGTCACTTCAGGGTTCTTTAAAATACCAAATATACACTTAGATGCAGAAAACGCAACGGTGAAAAGTTTGGTCAAATTCAAAGTATTTCAATTTTTTTTTGTTATTGTTGATTTGTTGATAATTCAAATATTGTTGATTTGTTGTTTTGTCTTTCTTGTATCGGTCCTTGTCTTCGCTGCATATGTTAGGATTGGTCTAACTGTTGTCTTGTATACTTTCATTTTGATTTCCGTGGTCAGATATTTGTTTCTCCATATGGTTTCTTGGAGGCAATTACTTACTCTTGCCGCTTTTGATGCTTGCCTTGTGGTCTCTATTATTTATCTGATAATAAAAATTGCGTCTATTGTGCTGCGGTTCTTCCGGAAGCCTTGTTGTTCATCTGCCATGTTCGCTTTTTCCTCGATTTTATCTTTTGTGACTGCCGTTAACAATTTTACTGTACTATTCATCAGACTAATGCCCCTATAATTTTCAGGATTTTTTGAGTGTCCCTTTTTAAGTATCGGTAGCAGGAGACTTTCTTTCCATTCCGCTGGTACTACTCCGGTATTTATTATATCGATGAATAATTTTAGGAGCCATTTGCATAGTGCTGTTCCTTCATATTTTAGCAATTCATTGTTTATCTTACCAGCTGCTTTTCGGTTTTGTAATTTGTTTATTCGTCCGTGTATCTTTTTTCTGATAGTAGTACTCTATCGTGGGTTTCGTTAATGATTCTTTCTCTGTTCTCTTCGTCTCCTTCTCCATATAATTTCGTGAAATGCTCAGTCTAATGTTCCTTCTTAATGTTATCTATGCGTACAAATTCATTCATTTCTGTTTTTTGTCTCCTTATCATCTTCCACACCTTTTTCTGGGATCCATAGAGGTCGTATTACATATCTTTGGTAAATTTGTTTGTTATTTGTTTGGTAATATGTTTGTAATAATTAGCTTGTCATTTGTTTAGCAAAATGCTTGCATTTTATTAACTACGTATAAACTGCGTATAAGATCAATTAAATAAACAATACCCAAATATTAGAAAATGATAAGATTTCATTTTTAATCCAACTAGAAGAATAGAAAAGATCGCATAGTCAGTATCATTTGGGTCAAGGAATTCAACACAAGAGAAATTTGATATCGGCATTTTTAACTTGAACAAAACTTACTGATGTAACAATTAATTGTATTAAGTTATACTGTTAGTCCTTAGCACGTGTTTTCGCGTGTGGCAAGAAAGTTTTTATTTCGAAAAAAGTATACATAAACAGGAAATCAAAGAGGACTGCTTTGTATTAAAAATACGCAAGCAGTAATCTTCTTTTAGTGCTTATCCTTCTAAAATTTTTAAAACCTAACAACATTTTTTGCTATAACATTTTTCTTTGATCCGTTTGACTTCTATTTCGACTTAACCCGTGAGTAATCGGGTAGGTACATCCAAATTAGATGAACAGTCGGGTGGGGTCTGTGATGCACAGTTTTTATTTTACACATTAGAAAAGATTAAAATAAAACTATTTGAATTATGTACAATAATTTTTAATACATATTAACAAATTTAAACCCAATAGTAAGATAAACATTATCTTTCAGCAAATGCAAAAAAAAAAACGTTATCAAAAATGTACTTCTCTTACATTTATTAAACAAAATTTTAATCCTAATTTAAATTTTTATTGCAGTCTAAGATATGCAGATAACACCGTGATTATAGCAAGCTCAGCTGAACAACTCCAATTACTGCTAAACAAAACAAACAGTTTCTGGGAAAAAATGGACTAAAAATGAATATAAAAAAATACATGATAATAACAAAGAAAACAAACATACCAACAAATTTTTATTTTATAAAAAATTTTCGTTACACAATTCATCTGCAATTCAAGGTCATTAGAATTGACCATTTTACTTCTAAAAGAATGTCTGGAAGTCGAAAAAACTAGCACCGTTTTCCTATTACTGTCAACTTGGGGCTGATAATATAACATATATTCTTCTTTCACACGAATGAAGTATCGCCCAAGAAATCATAAAAAATCGTAATATTCGTATATGCAAAATATTTTTGTGATAGACTTATTATATGTCATTTAGTATCAATATCTACCAAAATCCATGTGTATAGCAGGTATTCCTGTTTTTGTAGTACTTCGTAGTGCAGAGTGTTAAGCCCATCTTTTGTAAACTTTTTCTTTCCTTCTTCAAGAAGTTTATATCTACAAAATATGTCGAAATTAAAGAGTTATAATGATTGTCGTACCAAAATTTAAATACTTTAAAAAAATAAAAATAACAAAACAGAATCTTATAGTATAAACGCTATAGATTTTTGTTTTTGTACTTTGACGATGAAATATTGACACTGATAGTTAGATTCGCAATTTTTTTTACTTAAAAAGCTACGAAATTTTCAATATTAAAACTAATTTGTCCTAGTTAACCACTTGTTTTACCACACGCCAGTTTTCCCAAGAACTATAAGGTATGATATCCATTACAGTTTGCTGTTATGTATCTAGTGGTATCAGTTTTGTTCCAGACTCAGGAAAGGGCACCATGAAGAGATCTTTCAGAGACTCTTCACAATTTATAGTTTATTCACCTGACTTCATTTTGGAGCGCGGAAATACTTATCTAAGGGCCTATTGAGAGAACTTTAAGAAAGCCTTGACATTTCTGCAGTCTGTTATATCTCCTAGCAATGCATTTTCAATGAGTATCTATTTGCTCTTCTTAGTTTTTTATATTCATTTCATGCTTTGAGATTATTACCCTACTGATCTGATCTTTTGGAGCAGTTACATTTTTGTCTAACTTCTGTCCTTTTATCTGAAAGAGTGTCATTCCATCAGGGTACTTTCCCGTTAAAATTTCCCACTATCTCCGGACAGTTATCTTTAAACGATAATATGAAAATCTCTTAAAATTGTTCGGCGGCCATGTCTACGTTCAACGTATACCTTATCGTTCCTTTAATCTTACCTAAACAATATTCCAGATCTGCTTGATATGCTTTTCAATTTTTTTTACGAGGATAACGATACGTTTTCTTAATATACTCATTGCCTGTCATAAACACAACCCCTCATCTAAAACATACCATTTTTGAACAGTTTGGTGTTTGTACTGCCCCAGGTCAGATGGTATGTATTCGTATTATAGCTCATGATTAATTGCAGTTAATTTTTTATGTAATCTCTCACTAGCTGTTCCAACTCCGTTGGTGGTTGTTCGAGATCATTGTATGGGAGGTATACTAATCCCAGAACTGTTTTCTTCATACCTCCTCCCTATATGACTTTTGTCTTTACTGTCCGTCAAGTCTGTGGATCAGAGATAAAAGCCAGTCTTCTGTCTTAAGGTTCCGGATCCGGTGACGGATCCTGATGGTATCTTTATCAAGCTCTTTTTCGATGAGGACCATGGAGTGCTTGGGCATATTATTTGAATCAACTATATTTAAATTTGCTCTCTCCCAAAGGCCCTTCATAGTCTACACCACTTAACTCGTTAATTTTTTTCGTATACTTGTTCACACACTTCACCCACATAATCTTTTTGCTAAACGATGATTTACGGAACTACAGAAGTGCATTCTGACCTCCGATAAGAACTTCATCAAGTGCTTGCTCCAGTTTGTTAATTATCAAATTTGCTTGATCTCGATCTAATTGAGTATCAGGAGGATGTAGGTGTACTACCACCATTCTAACTACTTTTGTCACGGTGCTTCATAACCTAGTCTGCTTGTTAGAGCACCTTGGTATCTTAGCAACTCTGTTACGAGGAGGGTGATGGTATTCTTCCGAAGCCTCTTTTTATCGTCGCGTATCAAAATATTCAAAAACGCATTTGTTGCTCCACTCTTCATATTTTAGAAGCAGTAATAGCGCTGAAATCACCGCTATCTATGATCAACTTTTGCTTGTTTTCATAACATGTGTGTAAGCTTTGCCAAGACCAAAAAAATGAAAGTGAAAGATTCTTTTATATGCGTCTATCTATATATCCTTTAATAAGAAAGTGTAGAAAGTTATAAAAGTTGTAGAAATGTACATGGACTGAAATTAGTTAAAATATTTGTTACCTTTGGGGATTTGGTGTTGCTTTTTGATGCCTCAGCATTTTGTATCTAGCAATTTTAGGGTTATATCTTATCACATCGAGCTGATGGGCTTTTACTCGATTAAACATATCGTCATCTTCACCTCCCCATCCCCAAAACAAGTTTGAAAAGCCATTTACCAGGGTAATTTGCTGTGTAGTGAGTGCTGTAACGCCTCCAAATATGTTTTTATATGGCAATCTAAAATTAAATTGAATCTAATCTTGGGTAACATAACAAATATTGGATCAAAATGTTAAGATTGTAATTTTACTGAAAAGATTATTAAGTTTTATCTGTATAATCTGTAGAATTGTTTTTATAAATAATCATTATATAATGTTGGGCTAGAGCTGGAGTAGTGTTGGAATGTTTTACAGATATACAATGTTCGTAAATACGATTATAGATTCGTCGGTTTGTCTGTCCTATGTATGTACGTGGGCCACTGGAACATTGTATCTCGTAGACACCATGGTCTTCATTGGGGATTTGGTCTCATATAGATCGGACTAGATTGAATAACTTGGAGTGAGTAGATAAGATGCTTTCGATGTTTGGAGTGAAAAGAGTTCTTAAAAAGTTTAAAAGAAAATATATAGCTAAGAGTCTTAAAATAGTTACTTACTTGTACTTAAATACGTTAACAGCTACACTCATATGCTTAGGTTGACTGCTACACACATATAAATTTCTATCATCCTCAGGCAACAAATCAACATCATGAAAAATAAAGCAGTCAAATTGGCTCATCGACATCGCCTGCTCAAAGCCAATATTCATCAACATTCCTCTATTAAAAGGCTTTTCTCCTTGTTGTTCTATCACGAATATAGTATAATCTAGCTGCTGATGTCTAAGAAATGGATGCATATGTCTAAGAAAAATAGATAAATGTGTTTCTCTGTTTCGAAAAGGAACTACAATGGCCAGTTTTTGTTTAGCTCTACAATCTGGAGGTTGCCAATGTCCTCCCAGTTGGAGCCAATCGAATTGGTGTTCTAGTTCTGTAATTGATGATGGTGATCGTGATACCAGAACTTTTCCAACTAAAAATTTTGATTATAAAAATCTTTAAAAACTAAGTTTTTATTATTAGTACAACTATATTCGTTTTGGTTTAAAGAGTAGTAACTTTCTTCGTCTAGCAAGAAAAAGACATATTTTTAAAAACATTTTATTGTGACAATTTTGAGTTCACAATTTAAGCTAACTTTGTAGTTTTATATTGGATCAAACCAGAATTTATTGTAATTAGAATTTTATTTTAAATTCATTTTAATGTTTAGATTTCCAGTCTGGAAATAGTTTTATTTTTTTTAAATGTCATGTTTTAAGTAAAATTTAAAGGAGTTGTTGTAGCCTTGGATTGATATCAAATCATGATCTTTCTGTCTTTATGCAACTAATTATCGATAAATTGTCTCCGATCTGCAACTAACCCGTTAATATGAAGCTTGTTCAATTACAAGGCAGAAAAAATACCAGTAGAGTGACTTAAATCAGAGTTCGTGCCATTGCCCAAAAAACCAGGAGTAAAACTTTGTGAAGACTATAGGACCATAAGCTTAAAGAGTCATCTGCTGACTATTTTTAAAAGTCATCCACAAAAGAATTTACCGGAAATGCGAGGAACAAATTGCGCCAAATCAGTTTGGATTTGTGAACGCCGTTTGTACGAGAAAATATACATTTAGCATTTAGAAATGAGAAGATGTCAGCTGTGATGTTTTTGCATACCTGATTGACTACAAGAAGGTTTTTAATAGAGTCAGGCATGAACAAATGCTGAAAGTGCTGAAAAGGACAGGGATTGATGGGAGAGACCTAAAAATAATAGCTAACCTGTATTGGAGTCAATCAGCAGTACTCTGAATAGATAGAGAATATACAGATCAGGCCAAAAATGGAGTCAAGCTCAGTAACCTGTAGTATGCAGATGATACAATAGTGTTTTCTAATACCATAGAAGGGATGTAAAATTTGAATAAAGAAAATAACGGAAACATGTAGAACATATGAACTGGATATAAACACCAGCAAAGCAAGCTAATGATAATCAGCAAGGAAACCAGAACTGAAGCCAATCTGTATGTGAACTAAATGAAAATTTAACGTATCTCACAGTAGAATTACTTGGAAATTAAAACCAATGAGTCGTATGACAACACCCAAGAGATTAAATGTCGCATCGGAAAGGTAACAACTTCATTCTTGTCTATGAGCTCTGTGTTCAAGAGCCATGACCTCACTCTAGAAACAAAAATGAAGTTTTTTAAATGTTACGTGTACTCAGTGCTTTTGTGCGGGGTATTAACGTTGACGTTGAAGACGAAAACATTGAAGACAACCGCGGATTTGGTCAACATCGTAAAGAGCCGTAAGTTGCAGTATTTGTAAATATAATGAAAAATGATTAGATTAGCTATTCTATAAGCAGATTTAAGCTGCTCCAATGCATTTTACAAGGCAAAATTAAAAAAAAGAGGGCCCCAGGATGATGAAGAATATCCTAGCTTAACCTGAAAGTATGGTGTAGAAAGACCACAACACATAATAGTACCCGTATAGCAACCAGTAAAGTCATCATAGCCAGAATGATCGCCAACGTTCGGAACAGACAGGCACCCTAAGAAGAAGAAGATGTTTAATTTAACTTACAACCATTCAATATTATCAAAAAGTTTTTAATGTTACATCTATGTCGGCCGAAACGACATGACGTTGTACCATATTTGTAAGGATCGGATGTCCATGGCACCTCATTGTTCTTCTTAGCGCCACTTGTCCTGAGAATCTACCCAGATTGGGACGCTACCATAGAAAGTCTATTTACTGAGTTAATTCGAGATGGTTCTTTATCTAGCCGCTATTATGGCAAATCTCGCTTGAAGTCCGATTTTAACAGCACCATAAAAAAACAGCTTTACAAGATTATTTCATTTTCAAAATCCACAAGAAAAACAATTCCTGTAGCTGGCTGTATATCACGTATCATAAAAAAGAGGTTAATCTTCGTAAATGGGTTTATTTATTTAAAAACCCTTAAAAGCGCTACTTCAAAAAACCAAACGTTTTCGGACTAAACAGTCCATTACCAGGTTTAAAATTGCCTAAAATAAGTATAAAACATTAAGTTAAAGCAAACGTGGTTTTAAAATTTTGACTAGGGTTAAAAAGCAAAAATGGTTATACCCACTAGGTTAAAATGCCTGAGCCACCAAAATACCAGGGTAAAAACCCTTTAAATTACATGTAGTTATAAAAGATTGTACATATTGTTGTTATAAAACTTTGATGTTAAATATTAAATTAAATTTGACTTCAGGTAACATGCTTGAAGTGAGTTCCAGTGTCCAACGAGTAAACCTCTTCAAACGGACTACAGCTGGTAACTGACAAGATACCTATGAACGGTGTCGAAAACAGAATGTCAATGCAACATGAAACTATATTGGTTATACATAGTATTACTACAGCCAAAATATTAAAAAAAAAATTTTCAATGATATTAAAAATAATAACAGCAAGCCAGGTGTTGGGATTTAAAAACTTTTTATTTATTAATGTAGGGTATAAAAGATGTGGAATTACCGTTGGTGTTAAAGTCATGTTTAAGAGAATGACATGTGCATTAGGCAACCTATGTTACTTTTTGTCGTTTGGAATGTGGTCTAAAAGTGTATTTTATGTTAGATTAGCTTAGATACATGAAAATTATCCTTTTATGTTTATCACATCTAGGACAAGGTAAAGTTTGAATAGTAAATATTTCAAGCTAATATAAGACCTCGTATTTAAATAACTTTGTTTTAGACTGCTCGTTTGGTGAAAAAGTTAATAAAAGTAAGTTTAATAAATTGAAAAAGGGGGTTAGAAATCTACTTGCTGAAGAAATTAAAGTTATAACCTATGTGATTAAATTTAAAATTGAAGAGGCTGAGCTCCTCAGAGACTTGATAAGAATAAAAGCAAAGGAAATGACGGAAGAAGAAGGGGACGGTTAAAGAAGAGGAAGAGTTAATCAACAATTAGAGATAATAGAGGTCCTTCATGCTTATAGCATCTAGCACCCTGAACAAAATCTATATTGGTAGTATTAAATTCGGTAAATAAAAACCTAAAATTTGATGTATGAGTGTGCTACTAAGTTGTTGACCAAGAGAAGGTGAGCAATGGTTGATTAGGATTTTTTGTAATAGGGGAAATTATGAATTCTGATAAATTGTTAGATAATGTTTGAATGGTTACTGTGTTTAAAATTAATGAGTACATGTTTGATATATGAGTTGACCAAGAAATAATGAAAGAGAAAAGAATGCACAGGAATGTGATGTATATGTGAAGAATCAAGAAAATGGAGAAATATTGTGGTATGATAGACATGGATGATTCTGAAGTTAACAATAGGGTCGAAAATTTTACGAGGGGAAGGTGTGACGATAGTGTAGAGAATGGTTGTTTAAAGAAACACAATTATTGTATAGGATTAAAGACTTTCCTATACAAATATCAACACCTTTAGTTGGGTTTTAGTAAGGGTTTTTAAATAAATATACCCATTTACGAAGATTAACCTTTTTTTATTTCATTTTCGTGCCAAACATAGTACTTAACACTTTTACAACATCGAGCTGGTAATTCTATTTCTCTAATTTCTAAATGTCGCACATTAATCTGAATTATCTGTTATTATTACAGACCCAGTGGTCACTTATATTTGCCTGTATTGTATGTGCTGTACCGTGCTATACAGTATTGAACGGATCTTTTCAGCTTTTACGTAACTTTCAACTTCAATTCCGTTGTGTTTTATATAAGATAACACCTTTTGCCGTTTGAGTAGCATCACTTAGAGTACTTCGTTTTGTCCATCTTTTAGCATATACATCCTTCAGAAGTATTATATTTTTCGATACTATATTGGTAAAATAAAAATTTAGTGAATTAAGAACATATTTTTTTAGCAGGCTTTCAATTTTTTCTTTGTAGTGTATACAGCTTTTTGATTTGTACAGGTGTTTTAATTTCGGTTTTGTACAGTACCAATATACGAATTAACACTAAGTAATAACAACATTTACTTACCAAGGTCAGAGGACGCAATATCTTTACATAGTGGAAAATTGTTTTCTTTTATTGATTTTGGCTGTACGTCAGGTTGTTCTTGAGTATTATTACTAATAAATGGTTCTGTATAGCTTCTAAAAAGATTTCTTAAATTGAAGAATACTACTTAACTAAAAATTTGGCTTTAAAAGCAAATTATAACACATTATTTTATCAAATACATTTATCAACAATCACAGGAAGAAATATTTTATATAACAATTATGAAAAAATTGGAGTATGTGTAGACGAGAATGTACTAACCTCTCAATACTCGTTATATTTATAATATTGTACAAAACGGGAACTGTAGACTACGTCCCTGAACGATCTACTATTGTAAGACACATAATAACAAAGGAAAACTGTCAGCAGAGAAACAGTGTAAAAAGTACAGAACCTTGAGATAAACATTTCGCCAGTAATTAGCAACTCCCGGAAGTTAACAACTCCCGGAAATTAGCCATCGTTACCGTCTTACCTTCTGATAGTGTCTGCTTCAACCATACATAAAACTTTAGGTAGGAAAAATTCCAGATTGCAGCCTATATGTGACATATCTGATGCTAAAATTGATGTCCAGAGCACAAATAAAACATAAACTAGCAAACAGATAAATTTGGTCATAACTCTTTTGATGACTCTTTTTGGGCCTTGGAGTAAAAAATTAAATAAAAAAAATCGTTAAATTAAAAATCCCCCACAAACTAAATCTCCCCCTAAGAAATTAGTTCAGTCATTATTACCCTTGTCTCAAGATCTATACGCCTTTGCCATGGTGCAAGAAGACCCGCTGAGCTCTCTACTTTAAAACACGTCCTTATCCAAAATGGGTATTAAGAAAATCACATCAATAATCTTCCACTTAATCTAAATACAAAAGCGCTCATCATAAGAAAGCTTGTATTCCTTACGTCAAAGAAGTCACTTACAAAATCGACAAAATCTGTTAATCAAGAGGAGTAAAGACAATATTTACCCACCAACATAACCTTTAATCGCTTATCCAATCAATAAAAGACCGATCGCTTATCCAATCAATAAAAGACAACATTCCAAATGAACAGCACCGATGTTATGAAATTTCTTGTGCAGACTGCTCCCGATGTTATGTAGGTTAAACAAATCGTAGAATCCAACCGATTCAATTTAGGTTTAGGTCAACACCACGAACCATAGCCTCTATCCGCCTCTATAAATAAAGAATTATCCGAGAAACCACAGAGATTAAAAAAAGACCACATTGTCTCAATAAATGAGATGACGGCATCTGGTTACCTTCGATAAGGAGACCTTTCATAAAGAAAATATCGTCCATCTTTCAATCAAAATTCCGTCATCAGGAATCTTCGCGCCCACCTCCACCCAAACCAATTTGCTCTCCCCAGTAGCAATAGTGCAGTGATTAGTCAACAATGTAGTTGCGTCTGGAGGATCAGAAGACTGAGACCTTGGAAGCCCAGAAGAAGACGTCAGAGAGGAGATAGAAAGCTTGGCGCATATATTTATATAAAATACATAATTTAGCTTTTAAACTTACTGTTCAGTTGTTGTCGGAGTGATGTTTGCAATCACATTAAAAATTAGTTCCGTGCAAAAAATGAGCCCTATTATACTAATAAACGTTTTGAAAAGCATAGGTTGGACTAAAATTGTCATTTTCCTAGATCACAATATTAAGTGGATAGATTTTGTTGTTCTGTTACATAAAGGGAAGTATTTTTTCCTAAAAATACATTATAAATATAAATATTATTCGTATGTTATGTCACAAATGTTTCAATAATATACAGATAAAGCAAAAAATATGGCTCCAGAACATAATTTATCTCTTCGTTACTAGTGGTCTAATGTGTTCTGTTTTTTGTCCTTTCTAATTATTTCTCGTACTTGACGGTTTCAAATTATGCTAGACCATCTTAGTTTACTTTTTCGTACATTTTTTGACTCATTTCTATTTTAATTTATTTGCGTAGGTACATGCTCATATACAATAATATCCCCATGGGAGTGTGTATTTATTAAAAACTAGGATAAAGAGATAAATATCCAAAAAACTATACTTAATATAAGAACTAGTTTCAAAAAAAAGCCTTATGCATTATTTAGAAAATAAAACCAGTCCTTGAATAACAGAGGTATTTGACAAAATATGGAGGACGTCTTCGGAATAAAAATTATATTATTCAATCACAAAAAAAGAGCCAAAAATTGCTTTATAATTGTATATAAATAGAGAATACTAATACAGTCTTCCTCTTCACGTGCCATATCAGATGTGTCAGACGTTTGCGATCACTTGCATTACTACAAATAACTAAAAATTTGGTTTTGTTTGAGTTTATTTTGCTGGTCTTACTTACTAAAAATGTAAATTTATAAAATTACAGAAGTACGCTTCAAGATATTAGCGGAGAAAGGATATTAGAACTTTTCATGAAATGAAAAGAACTGTAGGTCTTCTTCAAGCTGGTATGCGGTAAAGGTAGCTAAGGACATGGTTATACGGTGTCTTCAAAAGAGTTATAATAATATAAAGGGTTATATTGATTTTTGCCTCGTTTTCGAAATACTGGCAGTCCAAAAACATTCAGATATCCAGTCTTTCAGATATCAAGTCTTTCCAGAAGTAATCACGCTGCAAGATTGGAGTGATGTCGAGAATATCAAGACTGGGGTGAAAAGAATTGGAATTTAGGAACTCTACAGATTTACAAATACACATTTGATCCAATAATGGTATGGGTTCTCCAAATCAGTTTTTGATAGCTTAGTAGTACCTCAATACAATCCTTCAACTTTTTGTTTATCCAATTGTTGGTACTGTTGACGAAAACTTGCACCTTATCCACAAAAATATCTGTCAATATGTTAAACGTATGGTATCAAACTGGTTGACAAACAAGAGTATTGCTATTTTTCAATGTCCAGCACAATCTCCATTTGTCCAGCACATCCTTTTGATCATTTATGGGGCATTTACCACATATGGGCAACATTCACAATGTATTTCGTTTACGGGATCTTCTTACAATAGAATGGACACATTTATTTCAATTAGATTTTAACTATTATTTTAAGTATAAACAAGTGATGTAGAAGAGTTCATAATTTATAAAAAAAATTTAAAAATCTCAAATATTCTAATTTTTGTTTACTTACAGATACAGATATAGAGATACTTTCGTATCTGTATATGTATATGTATATGTATATATGTATTGTTATGTTTCTTCTTTCCCACTCAAAGAAAAATAAATAGAAACATCCATCGAAATAAAATTTTAAGATATCAGTATAAACAAGTTGTATATAGTAATTTAAGATAAGATTTAGTGTAGATAAGAATAGAAATTTGTTTGGCAAACGACCTTTTTCCGTTTCCAACAAAATTATCAAAAAACCTTTGTTGAGAATTAGAAGACATTTTACCTGTAAGTTAATCTTTTCATTGTTTGTATAGTCGAGTATTAAATGACCATATTCTAATCTTTTGAAATATGTATTGACAAAACCAATTTTAAAGTAAGCTATTTAGTTTTTCTCTGAAACCGAAATTAGGCTTTTCCAAAATCATGGTAAACACAATTTGAGCTTTTGATTGGACGGTCGTTTTTGAATGGGAATTTGGTGAGCCGATCGGGAAAACCGGATCGTGAAACCGGAAAATTGTGAAAAGGAATTGAATAGTTTTGCGGAAGGAGATAGCAAGTAGATTAAAAGAGGTCCTTGTATCTACCGTGGGCATTTTGTGAAGATTTGTGAAAGTAGTTTTATGGCATCAAGTTGACAAAAGGAGGTCCTTGTGTCATTAATAAGTAGTTAAGTTTTTGGAGAAGTGAATCTCGTGTTTTTGGTTAGTGCAGCAGGTTTGCAGAGACGTTAGGAAGGAGCCTAGGTGCCAAAAAGGAGAGATCACATCGTTGAGGAGACTGGACTTTTCTGGGTATGTTCGAACATACAACTCAATAAGAAAATAAGCTGTAACTGTTTTGTACAATTGAACTTTATATCTGTGAAGGATCTGTTTGACATCATGGTCATTAGCATTCAAATTTAAGAACTGAGGTTTTGTTAGGCTAATCAAAAGTTTAAAGTTTTGTTGTTTCTTGTTTCAAGTAAAGAAAAATTTAAGTAAAATTGGTTTTCACTTAATATAAATGAATGTAGATTTAAAATCTTATTATTATAAAAATTTGATTTATTTTCTTGTATGCTGATTGAGAAGATAACGGCAGAATTTGATAATTGTTTTATTCGTTGATATAAAATAAAGAAACGTAATTTTGTTGTAATATAATATTTTTTTAATTATTATTCTTCTTCTCTATCCCGATAAAGGACAACTAGAAATTCTTTGAATCCATCGAACACAGGTAATATAAGTAGTTTATTTTACTTTTCATAACAAATAAGTTATATTTTTTTATTGGCTCAATAAACAAAGTCAAAATAAACAATCATAACAGTATATGTATATAAGTACCTTACGTCTTCTAAACAATTTACGCCAAAAAATCATAAAACCTTAAACAAAGAATTAGAAGCACAAAAATGACAATTGCACTCACAATACTTTTCCAGATTGTCGGTGGCGAATATGGACCGGACTTTTAAACAACATGACGTGGCTTTAATCAAATAAAATTATCTATAGCTACTTTAGGATTACAGTTTATTATTATTAGTATATGCAAATAAGTGCTTGATTTTCATGGGCGTTTATAAAAGGGTTTGTTAATATTTATATATTGGTAAAATATAATCGTAAAATTTTTTTAGCAGTAAATGGTTGACTTCAATTAGTAAAGGGTACAAATATCCTAGGTTAAACAATAATAGTAAAAAAGACGCGGTTTCAGGTAACAATAGTTTACCTGAGGTACAAGGTCTTAACAATGGGACAAGTCAGAGAAATTTAATAGTACATATTGTCAATAACTCCATTATGTATGGTTTTTTGTACTTACATATTCATTACCACCTCCCTTTCCCATCAATACCTTGCACATTGTTGAACTTTGTGTCGTTTAGAAGTTACAAACTTAGTGTTCTTTTGGCAATGTCGCCATCTTTGTTTTTTTATGTTAACGTATTCGCTACCCCCTCCCCTTTTCATTGATACCTTGCACGTTGTTGCGCGTTGAGCCGTTTAGACGTTACAAGCTTAGTGTCCTTTTGGCAATGCCGTGATCTTTGTTTTTTTGTGTTAACGTACTCATTACCCCCTTCCCTTTCCGATGATACATCTTAAGTCACGATTCGACGAGCCGTTTTACCCCCACCACAAAATGAGCCAAAAATGACCAGAATGGATCTAAGCGATTTCTTATAGGATTTAACGTGGGAAAATAGGCAGAACCCGTGCTGCCCTTTACTTTTTATTTTCCTCGCATTATTATATACATAATTTCCACTAAATAATGAATTCTCTAAACAAAAATTTGGTCTAGCAATGGGATCTAGTTTATCTCCATTATTAGCCGATATATTTATGGAAGATTTTGAAACAAATATTAACAAATCTACAAAACATAAATCCACAGTATGATGGAGAT